AATATTTATAAAAAAATCTATATGTAACCACACAAGAAGAGTTAGCAAGCCCATTTGGGATCACAGCCCTACATTTGGGCATGGGCGTAGCGAGGGGGGAGCCTGGGTGGGCACGGCCCCTCCCAGGGAACCTGGTGCCCCCCAGGAAATCACAGCCGAAAAAGTGTTGAGTCGATTTGTAAACACCTAAAGCTAAAATAAAAGTTTTGAATACTAAAAAAAAGGTGAACGGCTTGCTCGGTGCCCAATAATGAACAATAATTTGAAATAATTCAATTTTGTGTCAGGTTGGCCTCCACTAGGCCCCCCATAACAAAACTCTGGCTACACCCATGCATTTGGGAATCATTGTTCTGTACCTGTCATGATAAATCTGCAGTCTGCAGGCTGAATGTGGCCAATGAAGTAGCCCATATGTGGTCTCCAGAGCTTTGCCCAGTTAATTTTATTTTTCTGTATTCTGTCTTGTGTCATTATGCAAACCTAATTAAGCTGATATTTATGAGGAAGAACATTCAAATTAAACTTGACTAGGGAAAAGATGAGAATAAACTAAACTATATATTACTAGATTGCATGTCATTAGCATATTTATTTTTAGTAACTGGTATATTACAGTTACAGAGTATTTCGATACTCAGCAGACTTAAAGCCTGAAAGTTCATAGAAAAAAATGCATGTAGTCTATCAGAAGCCTACAAAATTCACTTGTAATCTGCATCCAGTAAAAGTTGCTCATCACTGTTCAATGCAATACTGTGTTAATATAATAAATGCAAAATAATCAAAACTAATTTTGTACAGAAATAATAATCTTATATCTTAAAAATTTATTTTATTTTATCACAAGATATAAGATTATCATTTCTGTACAATAGTGCATAGTGAAAAAAATGGCAAAAAAAACACCACTGGCTGTTTTCTAGTCCTGTGTTACCAACAAACAAATTGAAGTTTTTTTTATTTTAAATGTTAAAAATTATTTTTCCGAATACATGTTAGTCAGTGTTTTCAAGTCACTGTGTGAAATTATCTCTCCACATCTGCAGAGGACATTTTAAACAGTTCTTGTAAATTATTAATTTTATAAAAAATTAAATGCTATTCAAAGTAAATTTACATTAAAAAACTCTCTATCCAACTATTTTTTTCCACTGTAAAACAGATGGATAATACAAAATCTTAACTCGTCAGAGACTGCATTTCTTAACTAAATACACTCAAACAAACCTTTACATATGCAGCCGTAATTTAATCATTCCAAAAATAACGCTTGTTAAAATAACGCAAATTTTTAGTTCGAAGTTTGATTTTTCAGTTTTTCTTGATAAAGACCATTGAATATGGTCGAAAACGTTTGAATTTATCGATTAAATTACGGCTGCATATGTAAAGGTTTGTTTGAGTGTACAAAATCTTAAAGTGAATAGGGTTTTGTTTACATTTACTAAAGTAAAGACTACTTGGATAGCATTTAATTACCTCAAACAGTTGGCAGAAGTATAGAATGTAAATTACTTTAAAAAGTTGACAACTTTAGTGTTAATACTTTAACAAGAAATTTGAATTTTTTTTTGTGCCATATCTCAAAAACAAAACAATTTTGAAAAACATTTACAGAAGATTTTAAGTTTATTTTTCCCCCTAGAATCTATTCCCAAAATATTGGCACTAAATTCATTTATACCCTGTATATAATTAAGAGCAATTAAATATTTTAAATGTTATTTGTTGTAAAATATTAAAATTCTGAGTAAAAATTTTTGTATTTCAACATTCAAATACTTACAGATTAATTAATATGAATAATCACATTTAATTTAAACATCTGAATATTAGAAAAGCACTAAGAATGAAATAAATTTTGAATTTGAATGGTAATATTTTTAATACCTTCAACAGAAAAAGTTTAATTAACTATTAGCATTCATTTTAAAAAAGCACAAAGTTTTGATAAACATCTTCAAATGTTTATTTATATATTAGGGGCATAGTGAAAAAAATGGCAAATCCTACAAAACTATAAAAAATGAGTTAACAAATTTGAATTTGAGCATCATCGATCTGTCTTCTAAGAAACTTTCACAATTCAGTTGCATATCCATATTAATAAAATTTTGCATATTAAAGTGCTGGTGAATTGAAACACGAATCTTCCTTTTTCTTAAAACCTTTCCAACATGAAATATTTGTGTTTTTCTACCAAACCCCTTATATATTACACTTACCTATTATTAGTATTGTAACTTTCAAATCAATTATAATTTTATAAACATTAAAATTAGTGCAACTGTTAAATATATATTTAAGAATAATTTCATAAGAATTTGTTAATAAATTTGTTAATTACAATGAATTTCTGTCACTTATTCCCCCTTCTTTGGACTCTCTTCAATAGCAAGAACCATTGTACGATGGCTTTTTTAAAAAAGTCAAGTATATTGTAGGTTTAGCTAAGGCTCACAATGAGGTGGCCAGGTGGAAAGGGATAGGACTTAACATATCTAGGATAGAGCACCCCAAAAAATTCTGGGTCTTTTTTTTTAACCCATCCAGATTTGTTTCCTGGTCTCTCAAAGCAGTAGTCTGACACCTTAACCCTCAGCCATCTGTCACTATCCATTAACTCCTTAAATAAAATTAATTTACTAATTTAATTTTAACAGATACCAACATATCTAATAAAAAATAAATCATTAATAAATTTAATAGTCTAATTCTTATCAAATTATTCTGTGATCTGATGAATTTGTTAATTGGTAGATACAATTTCTATGTTATCAAACATTCCATTACCTAGTATATACTAGATTTTGTTAATATATGAATGTAATCTTATATTGTAAAAATAAAAATACTTACTTCCATGATCTGTTTTATCTTTCCTAATCCATTTCTGGTCCCGCCTTGCTGTCTGATTATCTTTATCCTTTAAAGAGAGCTTTTCCATTTCTGATGTGAGAATTGTGTCACTATTATTATTACTACCACCACGTCCTCTGTAGCTACCACCTCTTCTCCTACTTCTTCCTCTAGACTGATATTTGAATTGTCCTCGATAGTTTGTTGGTGGTCGCCATGATGACGACTGCTTATAATTTTCTTTATTATTTTGTCTACTTTCATTTATTTCTTCTTTAGTTTTTTGTAAAAATTTTGAATTTTCAAATGTTCTGCTTTGCACTTTACCTGCATTTTCTCCTTCACCCCAAGAATTTGAATGATTGTTTGAAACATGTTCAACGGAAGAGACAACTGTATTTGTAATACTAATTTCATTAGGTTGTTCATTTGTATTATTTAAGGCAGGAAAATCACTGTCATTTATAACAATGTCTGGTTCAGTGTTTTCACTATTATCTTCTTTCTTCTCATTAAGAGCTGCATTATCATCCGATGGATATGTGTCATTTTCTTCTCGTTCTGAATAATTATTCTTTATTCTACCTCTATTGAAGCCTCTGTTTGCAATGCGTCCACGAGTCATTCCTCTTAATTTTTGGTAAGCGGTTTGATCCTGCCAATTACGTGTGTACTTGGTAGGACCACGCCTAAAAAATTTTTGAAGAAATACTATAAATTTTACTTAATACTTGTAATTTTATATATTTTAATGAATACCAATAACATAACTGCATTATTTTAATTTTGTAATAGATTTCAAATAAAAAAATATATACATAAATTATTATAATAAATTTTTATAGTCATTTTATTAAAACATACTAACCCATATCTCCTCCTCCTCCGGGCACGTGGAGGACCATCTTCACTTCTAATATCATAACCATAAATTGATATTAACTCTTCTCTAGATTTTGGAGCCTGTTCATCTTCGTGATACATATCATGACCCCATCTACCTTCATCTAACCATAATTTTTTCTTCTTTTTATCTCTATTAATAAAATAATAGAGTAAATAATGACAATGTTTAAGAGCATTGTATATAAATTACAAAATAATCCATTTTCTTTTTCAAATTTCTGATTCTTTTTTATAATATATATAAAAGCTATAAATCCACAAACTTGATTTTTAATTAATGCCAAATGATCTGTCACATTATCAAACTATAATAAGGCTGATTTTATATACTAGCAGATGAGTCCAGCATTGCCTGGACAAAAAATAATAATAAAGATTAAGATTATTAGATTATTTTGTACTTCTAACCCTTCTATTATATTATATTATTTGATTTATATAACAACAATGATTATCTTACATAAGGATTTATCACCTCAAGTGACCAATATAACATATTTTAAAAATTCTTCAAATTGTGTACAGTAGAGGAACAAAGAATTTTTAAAATGTGTTAGATTGGGCATTCAATGTGATAAATCCTTATGTAAGATAACTTTCGTAGTTACGTAAATCAAATAGTTTAATATAACAAACATTAAAACAAAAACCATGTAGAGAGTTTGTTATTTCAGCCTACCATTGTCATATTTATTGCAATACTCTAATGGTACAAAAAGGCATAATTTCATTGACCAAGTAAACAACAATTGAAAATATCTTAATTCTTTTTACATATCATATTTTTTCCTAATGTCAACTGTAAGAAACAGTACCATTCACAGCTGAATATCAAATGGTAATATGTCAATAAATCAAATAATTAATTTTGCAAAAAAAAAAAAAAAATATAATAATAAACAAACCAAATATTTAAACTCAGCATCCTCGAAACCACTTAAATCATATTTTGTGCAGGCCAGTATTATGTAATATTTCTATTCAACTGCCATCATACAATTAGTCCGACAGAAAGAAAGGACTGACTGTTGTGAAAGGAGGTTGAAGTAAGTTTGACCAAAAGTAGTCATTGACCTCCTCATGAAAGAGAGGATGATCAATGGCTACTAATTAATACCAGCCTACTATTAATATTTGAAAAGTGATCCGTGTTGAATGGGGTACAGGCCCCGCATGTGATTGAAGCTGCTATCCTTACCAAAAGACTTCATATAAAACTTGTTTAAATAAAAAGAAAACAATCTTGTAAAAATGTGAGGATAAATGCTTTTATGTGATGATAGTGTTTAACTTTTGGCAACAGATTGTATGAACTATGTGGGAAGTATGTCATCGTAAATATTGCATTTATAGAAAAATTATTAACCTGCAATTTGAAAAATTGTAGACCTATAAATTCTGCCTGTCATCCCTGTCTGTCTTCCATCCTTCCTTAATCTCAAGAAAGGTGAAAGTTGAGACCAGATGTGAAAAGCTTGTGGGCATGAGGCCCAGATTAACCATATACAAACTTCTGGTTTGCACTGAAAGTCATGTTACTTGAATTCAAAATTTTCCCCTGAACACAGTTAAATAGATAACTAGCACAACTATGTTGTTAACAAGAAAAGTATGATGTATAGGCACAAGACCACCACGAAAATCTGAGAACATTGTGATGATGTCACAATAAATAATCACTTGTTAGAATTAGTTTGAGAATGTGAAACCTAAGCGATCTACCTAGGGAGTGCATCCAGGAAGACTTTTATGAGAAGCTGAACCCTATTTAGGTATTATTAATGTGAAGAAAACCTGGAAAATTCCACATGGCCAGCCCAGTGGCCATACCCGAACACTATCATGACTAACTACTCATGACAGTGTTGTGGTTTTATCCACTCGATTACTGGAGGGCACTTTTCAGAATTAAGAAAGTACTATTCAAAATGAAAAACCCTGATGTGGAAAATTAAATACTTTTATACTTACTGCAGGGACTTTCTGCAGGGAACATTTTTGATTCCATGCAGGCAAATGCTATATTCTACCTGTCACAGTACTGAGATAGTGCATCTATTTTGAGCTCTATCATTGTTACAGTAATTAAGTGAATGTAATATATATTTTTTAAAATTATATCCTTTTTATAAAAATTATAGTTAATTATTTTATTAAATGTTTTGCCAATAAATGGTGCTACGTGTAAATCAGCAAATCAAATGTAGATAGAAATTTATTTATTTACAGAAATCCAATAGATATTTTGAAATGCGATGTATGACATTATCTAAGTTAGAAGTATGTGAACATAACTGTCGAGCTTTGTAGCAATTGGTCAAACGATCTAGACATGCATAGTGAACAAACAAACATCTGCATTTATATATATACATATAAATGCAGATGTTTGTTTGTTCACTATGCATTGTTCACTGTTCGATACATATATATAGATGAAATTGAAATAAATAATTTGACTAGAGGTAGGCAGTTAGGCCATGATCTCATAATAATTTTAATTATAATATTAACAAACTTAACCTAGCTAATAGATCTATTGAAAGACAACAAGTTTTACAAATTTAGATAAAATATACAAAACTAATCAGAAAAATGTCATTTTATAGCCTGATAATATGGCAGATTGTCTGGCATATATAAAAGGGGTTACATTAATTTTTAATATTTTCAAAATATTGCATTATAGATTATTGCTATAATATTTAAATAATATACTTTTTCGCAACATTAAACTTTACTTTTTCTAATTATTTTAAATTCACCAAAAATAATAAACAACAAATTATTTACATTAAATTTCTCAATGGTTTTTAATAATACAGGATGAGACATAACAGAGTCCCACATTTATGAGATGAATTAAAGGTTTTTTTTCAGTTAAGTTTTAAAAATGTTGTTGTTCTACTATGTGGCATGAACAAGAAAGTTGTCAGTAGTCAACATGCTGTGGTCGGGCGAACAACAGGGCTTCATCATTGAAACTTTTTTCAAAAATGCCGAGTCTGTGGCTACAACACAGAGGGCATTTCGCATGTGATTTCATTTAAATGCAAAGGAAAATGTTCCTGATTGGAGAATGATTTTGAAATGGGTCCAAAATTTAAGGGCAACAGGATCTGCAAATCCTAAAAAGTCAGTTGGGCGTCCCAATTCTGTGAAGACACCTGCAAACATCGCCACACTTAAGAGTATCAATAGAGCAGTCTCTAATGCATTCTGCTCAGAAACATGCTTCTGCACTCCAGATATCGGCTCAAGCGTTAAGGCAAATTTTGTACTGTGATCTTAAGTTACACCCTTACAAGATTATGATTGCTCAGAAATTGAGTCCAGTAGATTGTGAAAGACAGAGATTGTTGTAATGCAATGCTTACAGCTGTGCCTCCTAGCGGTATTGTGTGGAGTAGCAACAAAGTGCATTTTCATCTATCTGGCACAGTGAACAAGCAGAATTTTCATTATTGGGCTGCTGGAAACCCCCGAAAATTCCACCAACAACCTCTTCACAACCTGAAAGTCACCGTTTTGGTGTGCTTTGTCCTCTGTAGGCATCATGGAGCCTTTTGTTTTTGAAGAGAATCACTGTTACTGAGACTTCCAACCAATGCTGTGACATGCAGGAGAATTTTTTGTGCCCCAAAATTGAAGAATACAATACAAGTGGCTTTTGATTTCAACAGGATGGTGCCACAGCCCATACGACCTGTCATTCTCACACCATTTTGATAGAAATGTTACCTGGTCAACTAATCTCTTTACAAGAAGCTGTTGAATGTCCCCCTCGCTCCCCTGTGACTTTTTCATATGGGAGTATCTTAAGGCGGGGGTTTTTAAACATCACCCTTGAACCCCACAAGAACTCAAGGCGGCCATTCATGAGGAAATCACCAAAATTCCTCCAGATATGCTGGTGAGAGTTGAAGAAAACTTCAAGGAACGGCTCCAAATGTGCATCGTCCATGGCGACCAACATTTGGACATCATCATTTTTAAAACCTAACCAAAAATAACTTTCTTACATGTACTTTGATTAAATAAAAAGTTTTTTCATATTATTGTACCTTTTTTTTTTTTTTAATTCACCTCATAAATGTGGGACTCCATTATGATCACCCTGTATTTTTAAACCCTTCTATTAATTAATTTTTTTTTATCATAACTTAAATGCTATAGTCTTTTGAATCATTATTAAATAAGCATATCATACACCTTAAATTTAAGGAATATTTTAACATCTTTACATAAGTATAACAACATGTCATAAAATAACCCAAATAAAATATTTAATATAAACAATTTTACTTATGTTTCTTAAAACTAGACAAAATAAAAAATAAATTATTAAGAATAATTTGTTTTTATAGATCTGTGACAATTTACAAATTCTGCAATTTCTTAAATTTCTGACAATCATCTTTGTCAGAAATTTAACAACAGTGTCATAAGGAAATGTCAGAATTTCAATAACAAAACTCAAAACACTATCCTGCAGATGTTTTGAGATTAATTGTGATTCTAAGATTTTATCAGAGAAATTTCTATACAGAATACTCTATGCATTCACCGACAGACTCTATAAAAGTGCCCATTTTAAAATGGATTCATATCATTAACTAATTCTAGATCAATGGGCATAGCTAAATTTGAATTAATCAAAAAAAAAAGAAAAAAATTATATTTTCTCACAAATCCAAATTTAGCTTTCATAAGATTTTTTAGGTCTGTTTTGATAAAGAAAGAATTAATTCTACTAGCAATCCTTTCATGGGTACATTTAGTGTACATTAATTTGTTTTTATTAATATGTAAATTTTTTGACTATAAATTCGACTTTCATCTATTATCAGGACTTATTATACTGGTTTTACTTTGTAATATTATCCGTAAAACCAGTATAATAAGTCCTGATAATAGATGAAAGTCGAATTTATAGTCAAAAAATTTACATATTAATAAGGAAAAAAGGACATTGAGGCAATTTAATTAATTTGTTTTTGTTTATTATTTTTAAACTATTCAACTACTGTAGGGTGATGTCATAGGAGGGCATATGACATGCAACCCTAATAGAATCATTTTGATTTTGTATAATATTTTGATTAACAATGGTAACTTGAATAGAAAAGTAAATATACACAATCATTGCAGTGATAGTAGTAACAGTACTGTAGTATATGTGCAATATTTTCCCATTGATATGAAGATATAGAAGACTTACAAGAATATATTCTCAGTGTAGATCTCATAGTATATTTTGCTCAAAATACTATTTACAGTCTGAAAACAGCAAGAAGAAACAAAATACAAAAATGTAAATTAACAGATGAGAATCATATCGAAAATTTAGAATATTGTACCAGTTTTGAATATTTGGTATTTCTAATGGAATAGAAATTTCAAATAGCATAAAAAGATAACCAAACTATAATTTTATTGTCATCTTTTACTGGAAAATTACCAGCATCTACTGTTAAACATTTTGATAAAAGTAAAAGTGAAGAGTATCTATTGAGTGACAGTTTATTATAAAAAAAATAGGATCATCATACGGGGGCATTGATTTAATTAGTAGCAACATAGATATAAAATAACACATGGTAATAAAACATGGTATAGCGTATGAAAATTTATCATTTGCTGGACATGACAACGAAAAATGCCTGGAAATTGTATAAGGAAGTGCACACAACACTGTATAACAAAGATGATATGCAACTATCTCAGTTTCACACTAAATTAGCATATATCTTATGTAATGTAGTTAGCAAAAATGAATGAACAAGGGAAAATTTCATTTTGACATACAATATATATCCCAGCAAAAAAACAAACACCTAAAAATATTCCCAGTAAAGATGATCAAAATAATCAGGCATCTCAATGGCCCATCTGGATGGATAAATAAAGTAGATGTTAATTGTCATTATGCACTGATTACACAAAAAACAATATGGAAAAAGTGTACAGTAGCATTTTGCTATATCAAACATAATTGTTTCAAGCTATTTCACACACAGTAACAACATGCTGAGTTTTATATACTTCACTGCATGATGTTGCAGTTCTATAACATGTATTTTGTTTTAAATAATGATGTGCTTTGAACTTAAATTATTGTTTTGTGAATTTTATGATGAGTTTAACTGTATCCAATAAGAAAAAAAATATTTTAATTTATTTTTAAAAATTCATGCAGTGAAAGATTGATTATAATTAACTAATTGTTACTTTTATACAGAATATACAAAAAATATTATATTTTTATACTATATTTTTATATAAATAGTAATAATATATAAAAATTTTCAAGTTACTTAGTATCCTTTTTTTCAGTATCAATTTCTGTATCTGAATTAATACGATCATCATGTTCATAAAATGAACCTTTTTTTGGTATATACTGTGGATTGCGACGATCTTCATCATCATCCAACACTTTCTCTTGCAACGTTACACTTTCCTATATTAGATAACAATACGAATTAGAAATTTAAGATAATTTTAAGTAATTTTAAATTGTTAGAAAATTAATCTATTAATACCTACTTCACCATCACCCTGTTGCCTTTCTCCTTCAACACATTCATCTTCCTCTTCTTCATCCTCATTGTCATCTTCATGTTCAAAAAATTCTCCTTCTACTTCAGCATCACAAGTATCTTCATCTTCTTCTACTAAAATTTCAGATGTATTAACTGCATTCTTTTTCCTGGTCTAAAAATAATTAAAATTTTCAGAATAAATAATCTTTACACTTAAACTTTTACAAAATCTATAATGCTGGAGTAATAAATAATAAGATATAAATACAGTAAACTCTTGCTAATTTGGTCAGACTAATAGAAATGAAGGTTATTTGCACTGACAAAAGTCAGAGTTAATGGAAAACACCCCATTAACACAAACCCTCTATAAATTCAAACAACCTTCACTGATTCTTCTCTGATGACATCAAAAACAAGATGATGATTATTAATTTTTTTTACTTCTATGTCCCGTTTTACATTTCTGTGTATGTATTGTCTACTTGGACTTTGTTTATTAATAGGACTTATTTAAAAAACATTAAGATAGGTACGTTCCACACTGTTTTTTGAATACTTTATGTTGGTATTGGTGTTGTATTAACAATGATCAATAAAGAAAATGTAAATAATTTTACCTTATCTTAAACATCATCATCAGGTGTAATGACAATTGTATAAAATATTTTAAAAAACAATGTTATACAATATTGTAAACCTGCTGAAGAGGGGCATTCAGGTCCAAAACACACATAAAGAGTGTACAGGTGAAAATAAAGATATTTTGTTTTGACTAAAATCTCTTCTCTTTGCTAATCAGAAACTTCACCAATATAATAAGTCCTATTAATGAACAAGGTCCAAGTAAACAATATATATACAGAAATGTAAGATGATTATATAGTACAGTAATTTATGATCTGCTCTATACAAAAGCTTTAATGAGCTTTAACAGGTTATACCGATGAATTTATTACTACAGGAAACAAGCTGAAAAAATCCATAACAGCATAGTATACAGTAATGTACAGTCTTTAATTACTTACCAACTACAATAATATAATGCACAATATTACAAAGCCTTCCACATAGGAAAAATAAATCCTGCAATGAGAGTTGCATAACTTTCCTGACTGTTACAAGTTTTTATTTTAAAAATGAACTTTTATATTATTAAGCAAAATAAAATTGTGTGTGATGCCATCCGTTATAAAAAGTATTTTATAACAAAATCTCATATTTTTAATTATTATGATATAAAATGGCAAAAAGCTTAATTTTGAAGGTAGGGATGAGTTTTATAAAAAAAATATATATATAAACATTAACAAATGAAATCGTCATTAAGTCCTACCCCTCTTGAGATATGACACATGATACCCGCTTTATCTCCTCATTCTTCCACCTTTAACCACCAAAATTTAATAGCATCAATGTCCCTTATACACAAGCTATCATGCCAAATTTTGTTTCTTAATCTTTGCCCCTTCCTGAGATACTAAGTGAAACAGATGCCAACACACACACAACAAAATTTTTTCTGCCATTTTTTTTTTTTTACTTTTTTCGATTCAGAAGGCCTCAAAACTTGGAGATCTGCAAAAAATTTGGATTTGATTCCTTGTTATGTATACGTAAAAGCTGGGAAAATAACAGTCATTAATTATAAATTTATTATAACTATAATTAAGTAATTATAATTAATCTATTACTAAGAAATTTTAAATTACTGTACAATTTTTCAAAAAAAATTTATCCAAGTTATACGAAGTCCAAGTTAGCAGGGTTACAGTAGTCTGTAAAATAAGACTGTTTTTTTTCCAGTCAAACATTTTAAAATTTAAACAACCTTGGCCAGATTTATTCTAGAAAATTAATTACTACCAAGAGTTGCAAGTTGACCCAATTGGGCAGAAATAATATGCCCATTATACTTCATTGACATAATTTAACAAGAAACTGTATTGAAAAGAGATAAAATGAGCATATTTGATGAATATCGTGTGTGTCAGATAGAGTCCAAAAGCCATGTTATGATGTGAGAATAAGAAATATATTATTTGTATTATTGTAAAATATCAAATAATGCTCAAGAATCAAAAATTAACAGAAGCAGGGCATGAACAGATTGTGCTTTTTTCATTTGCAAAGCATATCTCATTCCACAATTGCAAAACACATGAAATATTTACAACATTAAAATGGTACCAAGAGACTAGATATTTAAAAAATAATTAAGCAAGAACAAATTACTACTGCAAGAAGACTGAATTATAGCAAGAGAAGCTTTACAAGCTTGCATGAAAAACTCAAACAATCTCTGTTCTAAGCTGTTATATGGTTACAGAATAACACTTTTCACCCAAATGATAAGGTGCCTCCTTTTATCTGGCTTACATAGTCATAAGCTACACTATAAACCATACTCATTTCCAGATTAATCATACTTATCATGGTCAAAAAAGTATGAAAACTGGAGTATTGCTGACTGGGCAAGGTTACATGGTCAGATGGATCCAATATAAGGAGTTATACAGCAAATCATATCTACTATGCTTCTGATTTCATACTGTTTAGTACCTTCTTAACTACACCTGTAAATTTAAATAACTTTTATGTTGTTGTTGTGCAGCTTTTTGGGCATTCTGAGACTCAATGCATTTTGCATCAACCAGGAGAAACATACAATCTGGAATGTATTATACAACAAAAAAGCATGATGATGGAAGCATATTGGTCTGAAGCTGGAAGGTCAGAAATGTCCATGGGTGAAGGTCAAATGATTTAACGAAGATATCCCAAAATATTATTTCTGACAAAACAATTCATCCTGCATAATTCCTGCAAAGTAATTTCTTCAAAAATGTAAAAGAATTTTAAAAATTTACATTGGAAAAACTGTAAAAGTGTTCTCTCTCATAGTTCATTCGTACACCATCAGGAAATAACAATTTCACAGTGGAGTCGACCTTTATTTGGAGGCTTCTTGTCTGCCTCAATATGCAAAACGTTATAATCTTCCCTCTGGCAGTGGAATAGACATTTATAAAAATCATACATTTAATAAAAAAGTTTTTGTTGGGATGTAAGTGTAAAGGTCAACTCTGCCATAAAATTGTTATTTCCTGATGGTGTGCAAAGGAACTACAAAGGAAAACACTTTTACAATTCATCCACTAAAAATTTTTTAAAATTTTCTAAGTTTATACTTATTGTCCTGGCAAAAAACATTATTATTAAAATTTAAAAATTTTGCCAATCATTTTGCCATTTTTGGTTTTATATAACAATACTGTGGTCTTCCATCATTCCACTATTTTCTGCAAAACAGTCCATGTCCACAGGAACATCACACAAACAACTGTTGCCTTGCCTGTTATTTCAACAGTTTGATTGAGTAAAGTTGACTATTCTGTTGAATCTCATAAATATGTTAGAAATTTTATCATCTTCATGTTTATTGCAATAATTTCTTTTTCAGATCTTAAAACTTTTAAAAACGATATCATCTTGACACATTTTTTACTAGAAAACAGATACTTTCTTTTATCTTATAGTGCAAAATTTTATAATTATACTGTTGTTCTAACTTTTACAAAAATATGTGGAATTTTTATTACTTTTTATCCATATAATTGATAGTGAGATTTTGTTTCATTCAATTAATTTTTTTTCTTTTTTTCAAAATTACATTAGTTAGAAATAAAATTTTATAAATTTGCATTTAAAAATCTGAAAATCAATCAGTATAAATAAATATTTGATTGCTTTTTTAGTAATTTTTAAAAATTATATTGTATTCTCATGTTTTTAAAAAGTTATATTTAAAGCATATTTACTGTAGTTGATTGGAAAATTGTACTCAAAGGGTTTATATTTTATAGAAACAAATTTATGTATCAGATACCTTTATTATAAGTGACAAATAGTAACTTAGCTTCTTTTCTGTTGATATCAATAAAAATTAAATTTATAAAAGTTATAAATCAAAATCAAGACAACATCCTATACACCAGTTAGTAGGCTGCCTCACATAGGGTAATTCTGAAAGATTTGTCACAGCAGTAAAGTTGCTACACTCTTAATTATACTTTTACTGTTTCTTTACTATCATTGTAGTTTCAAAATTTTAGCATTGTTGAAGCCACATTTCCAAGAATATTAGCTTCTTCTCTCTGGTAAGTACCTATTTCTACTCTCAAATTTCATGACACTTCCTAATACCATTAATGTTTACTAAATGGTGGTTTTATTAGTGTAATGAGTTAAGCATATAGCTGAGCTTATTTTAAGTAACAGCTGTTGATTTGAACCAGTGTAGCATTTACTTTAGTGTAAGGGGTTGCAGCATCTCTACCTGCCAATCAGGAGTGATGATGCATTTGAGAAGATGCTGCAGGACAGTTTCAGTAATGTCTTATTTCCTTGGTTTATTTATTTATTTATTTATTTTTACAAATACAGTAGAGCATTGATTATCCGAATACTGATCAACTAAAACATCAGCTAACTAAAAGCATTCCAGTTGGCAAATTCAAATTTCCACTAGGGCTGTGGCGTTGCAGCACTATTCCCCTCCCTGCCAACTGAACTGTAGGCATACTTTAATGTATTACATTATGTAAGGTATGTATTTGTAAGACGTATGATACAAATTATATACATACATGTGAAAGAAAAGGCTGTACTCAAAGGTGTAGCCTTAAAAGATAAGAAAGATAGGTGAAGGAAAAAAGGAGAGTGATTTGAAGAAAAGTTAGGAGGGTGGGATGGTTGGAGGTTTGAAAGTGGAAAAAGGAGGACATGAGTTGCAAAGAGGAGCTGTTGGATAGCACATGGAAATACGATGGTATACAAGTGCAAAACAATTTGTATATACAGGGAAGGAGAAGGCTCATAGCGTAATACCTTGAGGAGTTGGTTAGATGAGGTCGACTTGGAAAAAAAAAAAAGGCAGTAAGGAGTCCCTTTTTGGGAGGGGTCCTTGTTGACTCAGAAGATGATCTGTCCATTAGATGCCACTTGGGCTGGTAGTGGTATAGAGCGTAAGTTTCAGGTGTTCCATGAAGGTCTTGAATTCTTGATAGATTATCTGGTCCTCAATAAGGGTGTATAGTTTGCATGGCCAAGGATACCCACGTTCCACAATAGTCCTATGAAGGTTTGCACGGTGGTGTGAGTGAACCGGGC